CCCTCTGCAGCTCCTGGAGCAGGCGCTGGTGATCGAGGAGCAGCTGCGCCGCGCCGCCTACCTGAACATGACGCAGGACCCCAGCCACCCCGCCATGGCCCTCAACACGCGCTTCGCCGAGGTCGAGTGCCTGGCCGAGAGCCACCAGCACTTGTCCAAGGAGTCGCTGGCGGGCAACAAGCCCGCGAACGCCGTCCTGCACAAGGGTAAGAGGCGGGGGGGCCGGCGCGCCCGGCGCGGACGCCCCGTGTAAGCGCCTCGCACTCTGTACGCGCCTGTCAACCATTAAACGGGGTTCTGCTCCCAACCGGCTCCCGGTGTATCCTTGCTCTGCGTGCGCTTCTCTGGCGGCCGGAGGGGGGTGGAGAGGGGGCCGGGGGAGGGGCTGGGAGGTCCCCCGAGGTCCCCCGAGGTCCCCCGCGGCGGTTTTCGGGGTGTGAGTAAACTCGGAGTAAACTCGGAGTAAACTCGGAGTAAGCTCGGAGTAAGCTTGGAGCAAGCTCGGGGCGCGGCTTTAGGGCGGCCGAGGGGCTTTGTGGGGGTCGCGTGCGAGGAGCCGGCGGGGGCCGCTGTCGCTTTTTGCGCTGAGGTGTAACCGCTGAGTATCCCTGGTGCAAGGCCGGAGTGTGTCACTAGCGTGTCACTAGCGTGTCGCTGGCGTGTCACTAGCGTGTGTCCCGCGTGCCCCCGGAGCGCGTCGTGCCTTTCTCTCCCGGGGGGGGTGCCCCGGGGAGTGCGTTCCGAGCCCCTCGTCCGTGGTGCATGCAGTGAGTAAAGCTGGAGTAACGCTGGTGTCCGTGCTTTGCATGTGCCGCGGCTTTGCCTGGAGCGCCTCTGGTGTAACCCCGGAGTATCCCTGGGGTCCTTAACGAGTAAAACCCCGAGGACTCCGGGGGAGGGGACATGCCGGGTAAGCCCGGAGCATCCCTGGTGTCTGTGGTGTCGTTACCAGTAGTAAGGCTGGAGTAAGCGCTGAGTAGGGTTGGTGTTGGCTGACGGGTCTCGGGGGCCTTGTGATGAGTAACCCTGGAGTATCCGTGGCGTGGCCGCGGCCCCTTAGCCCTGAGTGAGTGGTGAGGGTGCCCCGAGTATCTCGGGCGTGGTCGTAGCGTGGACCTGGAGTATCCCAGGAGTATCCCAGGAGTATCCCAGGAGTAGCTTTAGTGTGTCTGAGGAGTGAATCCCGAGTGTCTCTGGAGTGCTTTAAGTGCGTCCCCAGAGTATCTGAGGGGCAGACCCGGAGTATCTCTGGTGTATCTGCACAGTCTGCCCGGAGGGACTGAGTACACCTGGAGTATCTGGGCTGTACCTAAACTACACCGGGAGTAGCTCTGGTGTGTCTGGAGGATATCCCAGGATTATGTCTGGAGTATCCCCGGTGTAGCTACAGCCTGGTGGGTGTCCCCTAAAAGGGGCATCCCCGGAGTAACTCCAGCGTGTCCAGTTAGTAGACCTGGAGTATGTGAGGAGTATGCCCAGAGTATGTGAGGAGTATGCCCAGAGTATCTCGGGTGTGCCCAGGGTGCAAAGAGTAAACCTGGAGTACCCCTGGTGTGCCTGGAGAACACACTCTGAGCACAGAGAACAGCCCGTAGGGAGCACACCTGGAGTAAGCCAGGAGTACACCCGGACTACTCCCAGCCTACTCGAGGCTCACACCCCGAGTGCCTCCCAGCCCTCCCACCCTGGAGGTGCAACCCCTGAGTAGGTGCTGAGTATCCCTGAATAGGTGCTGAGTATCCCCTGAGTAGGTGCTGAGTATCCCCCAAGTAGGTGCTGACTATCCCTGAGTAGGTGCTGAGTATCCCCTGAGTAGGTGCTGAGTATCCCTGAATAGGTGCTGAGTGTTCCCCCTGAGTAGGTGCTGAGTATCCCCGGAGTAGATGCTGAGTATCCCTAAGTAGGTGCTGAGTATCCCTGAGTGGGTTCCAAGTATCCCCTGAGTAGGTGCTGAGTATCCCTGAGTATCTCCTGAGTAGGTCCTGAGTACCCCCTGAGTAGGTGCTGAGTTATCCCCAAGTAGGTGCTGAGTATCCCCTGAGTAGGTGCTGGGTATCCCTTGAGTAGGTGCTGAGTATCCCTGAGTATCTCCTGAGTAGGTGCCGAGTACCCCCCGAGCAGGTGCTGAGTATCCCTTGAGTAGCTCTCAGGCTCCTCCCCACCCCTCCCACCCCCTCCCCGTCCTCACGTGAGTATCTCCCCCCCTCCCCGCCTCCCGCCAGCCTGTTAGTAACCTATGAGTAAACCATGAGTAACCTCTGAGTAAGCTATGAGTAAGCTGCGAGTAGGTGCGGGACGGCCCCCCGGCGCTGACGGGCCCCCCCCCCCCCCTTTTTTTTTCCCCCCCCCCCCCCCCCCCCCGGCCCCCAGTGCTGAACCAGCTGGAGGAGCTGCTGAGCGACATGAAGGCGGACGTGACGCGCCTGCCGGCCACCCTGTCCCGCATCCCCCCCATCGCCGCCCGCCTCCAGATGTCCGAGCGCAGCATCCTCAGCCGCCTGGCCAGCAAGGGCACCGAGAGCCACCCCCCGCCCGTGAGTCACCCCCTCCATCCCCCCTCCCCCCCCGCCTTTAACCCCTCTTAGCCCATCTCATCCACCCCCACATGGAAAAATGGGCTGGCCCCTGGGGGGGACATGCCTGCATTGGGGGGGACACGCCCGCACTGGGGGG